TGGAACTCAGAGGGATGCTCTTACCTCTGTCTCCTAGATGCTAGGATTAAAAAAAGCATGCACCACCGTGTCTGACTTTATCTCAACTTTTAAAAAGAACGAATAAACATTGTACTGAAAGATGTCAGTCACGAAAGATCATGAGTTAGAGGGCCTCCTTTCTATGAAAAGCCGAAATGCTCGCAGCAGGCAAACCGAGACAGAGAGCAGGTTGATGAAGGCGGGTGCAGTGGCACATGCATGACTGCAACTTGAGCACCTAGAAGGAGGATCCAGAGTTCAAAGCCATCTTCAGCTACGCAGGACCCTTTCTAACAAGCAGATTAGTGAACCTCCAGAAGCTAGAAAAACTGCAGGGTACAGTTTTTCTTCTGAGTTGGACTGATCTTAGGGATAATTATGCAACTTTGTGAATATATAAAAACTACTGAATTGGGCGGTAGTAGCACACACCTTTAATCCCAGCATTTGGGAGGCAGAGGCAGGCAGATCTCTGTGAGTTCAAGGCCAGCCTGATCTACAAAAGATAGTTCCAGGCCTAGGACCGTAACACAGAGAAACACTGTTTTGGAAAAAAAATAATAACACTGAATTTTATACTTCTAATGGATTTCCTCTTAAAATTGCCTCAACTTGGCTGGCCTGAACCTCACTACATAGAGTAGGTTGTCTCAAACATTTTTAGATTTTCTGTTTCCCAAATGCTGGAATCACAGACATTTTCCATCATACCAAGTTTTTGTTTCTTTTTTTTTTTAATCCATTTTACAAGATAGCTGGGGACTAACCTCTCCCCTTTCCATTTCTGTTAGTGTAAGCAAAGATCAACTAATTTGCCTCAAATACTATATAATTTTCATCTGATCTATACTAGGGTTTGGCCATTAACAATTTGAACATTTTTTGGCTGTTAATCAAAGCAGTGAATGCTTCTATCGCTTAACTATTGTTTAACTTTTCTCCTACACACTAAGACTCCTGATGTCCTATTGTTGATTTTTTTTTTACTCAAATTTTTATGTGTTTGTGCCTGAGTGTATATATACACACCATGAGCATGCAGGAGCCAATGGGAGTCAGAAGAGGTTGCTGGATCTCCTAAAGCTAGAGTTACAGGTGGTTGTGAGAAGTCATGTGGGTACTGGGCATCAAACCCGGTCTTTTGTAAGAGCAGAAGTGTTCTTAACGGCTGAAACTCTCTCTAGTTCCAGTTGCTGAATTTTACTTTTCTTTCTAAGAAAGGGTCTTATGTAGTCTATATTGGCTTCCAACCCAACTAAGTATGTAATTGAAGATATCCTTGAACTCTTCATCCTCTTGCCTAGACCCCTCAAGTACTGGGACCCACGAGTGTGCCACTATCTTAGTTAGGCTTTTATTGCTGTGAAGAGACACCATGACCATGACAACTCTTAGAAAGAAAACATTTAATTGCGGTGGGAAGCTCACTTATAGTTTCGAAGGTTCAGTCCATTATCATCCTGGTAGGGACAACAGCAGGCAGGCAGACTTGGTGCTGGAGCTGAGAGTGCTACGTGTGTCTCAGGCAACAGGAAGTCAACTGACTGTCACACTGAGGAAGCTTGAGCAAAAAGACCTCGAAGCCTATCCTCACAGTGACACACTAACTCCAACAAGGCCACACCTCCTAACAGTGCCACTTCCTTTGGGGGTCACTTTCTTTCAAACCACCTCATTCCACTCCCTGGCCCCCAGAGGCTTATAGTCATATCATAATGCAAAAATGCATTCCGTCCAACTTCAAAAGTTTCCATAGTCTTTAATAGTCTCTTCTGAGACACATGGCCTTCTCTTAACTGTAATCACCTGCAAAAAATCAAAATAAAAAACTCAGATCACAGTGCGAGGCCAGCTTGGTCTACAAGAGCTAGTTCCAGGACAGGCTCCAAAGCTACAGAGAAACCCTGTCTTGAAAAACTTTAAAAAACAAAACAAAACAAAAAAACAAGATCACATACTTGTAACATGAGGGCCGGCTTGTTGGGGTATCTATCCCGCCCGGCACCCCAACAAGTTGGCAAACCCCAAAGAAAACCAATCACACAGAGATCTCTATAAGTTATAAAGCTGATTGGCCCATTAGGTCAGGCTTCTTGTTAACTCTTATAACTTATGTTACCCCATTATTCTTATCTACGTTAGCCACATGGGCTCAGTACCTTTCTCAGTGTGACAGCTTACATGTTGCCTCTTCAGTGGTCTGCGCAGGAGTGGCAGAGGAACTTTCCTGCTTCCCAGAATTCTCCTGTTCTCATTGCATCACCTCTACTTCCTGTCTGGTTTTCCCGCCTATACTGCCTGCCTGGCCAATCAGCGTTTTATTAAAATATGATTGACAGAATACAGACAATTCTCCCACATCATTTCCCTCTTTTTTTTTTTAAACAAAGGAAAATACCCATAGTCCATTTGTTGGGAATGTGGGCGTAATATTTCAGGCTACTTCCTGCTGGTTGGGGGCGCTGATAATCAAATGGGGACCTAAAGAAAATTTAGAGTTATAATCAAGTCCTGACTGGAGTATCCTGTGAGTCTTGATCATCTCAGGCAGCAGTCTTGAATCTGTTCTGGATGTGGAACTATGTCATCTGGGCCCTCTATTCCTGTCGGAGATTTTTCAGGTGGCCTCCCTTGGTCAAAGGTGATTTTTCTTAACTTTGAATAAATCCAGAGCCTCTCATTTTCTGTGGAAACAAAAGCAAAATCTCTTCTCCAAAGTAACATACCTTTTGACTTCAAATTTGAAGCCAAGGTATTTTCAAAATATCTATATTGGGTTAATTCAGCAGCATTTATAAACAAAAGTCTTTTGGCAGCTGTTGCTCCTTCCTCAGCATTCAAACAATTAAAAGAGAGCATAATAGCATACAGTATCAAGATTCTCTGTGTATTTTCCATCTTTATGATGGCTTTATTTTAACCTCTATTTCTTTTATTTTTACTTTTACTTTTTGAGACTGGTTCTCTGTATATCTTTGTCCTGGAATAACTCTGTAGACCAGGCTGTCCTTGAACTCAAGAGATCCCACTGTCTCAGCCTCCCCAGCACTGGGATTAAAGCCGTGCACTACCACACCTTGAGGTCACAGAGGTCAAATCTCTACCTCTGTCTCTTGAAGTCACAGAGGTCAATATGCCTCTGCCTCCCAGGCATTGGGATTAAAGGTGTGTACCACCACACCCTATACATACTTCCAACATGTGATGGCACAGGATATACATTACCATTCTAAAATTCAGGAAAGAGAACATAGCAAGGAAATACTGGATCAAAGCAAGATCAAAAACAAGCTGGGCAAACTGCAAATTCTGCATCTCCACGTCTGATGTCAACACACTCCACATCTCAGCTCCATTCAGCTTTGTTGACTGCAACACTTCTTTCTCTTGGCTTGGTTTCACTCCCTGTTAGCGGGCTCTTCTTGGCGGGTATCTCATGACTCTGGCATCTTTAACATCTTGGGTACTTCAAGGCAATCCAGGCTTCACCTTTACAGTTTCACACAATGACCTCTCTACTAGGCCTCCATTCAGGGACACTTCTGACACATGCCTGGCCTCAGTGGCTTTATTCCATAACTCCTTTCTTCTGTCCTGAACTCTAAAACCAGAATCGCATGACTGAAGCTGTCAAGTTCTGTTGCTTGCTGGGGCTGAAACATAGCCCCCTCATTCAATTAAATCTTCACCAGTTTTCTGTCTTTCACTGCTAAGCTGGATTGTCCTGAAACTTGATCTGTAGAACAGGCTGGCCTCAGACTCAGATATCCACCAGCCTCTGCCTTCCCAGTGCTGGGAATAAAGGTGTGCCCCACCATATCCAGCTCTATGCTTTTTGTTTGTTTGTTTGTTTGTTTTTTTAAATTCCTTTCCACAAATTGGAAACTTAGCTGGGTGGGATCTTGCCCTGAGGTCACCACTCCCTTTATTTAATTTCTTAATCCATTTATCTCTTTGAACACAAGGTTAGCTCCCTTCCACTTCCTGGTGCTTTTATTCTCCTCAAAATATACCTTTTGTAATTTACCCTGCTCAGCTTGTTCCTTTTCATAAATCTTTATTAGTTACCACTAATAACCACATGACAGAGTCTATACTAGGCTGTTTTGAGATTTCCTCTGCTGATAGAATTAGTCCAAATCTCTTCACTTTAGCCTCAAGCAGACACTTCAGACAAGGGCAAAAGGCAGCACTTTCTCCACAAAATATCACAAAAATGATTTCTAGATGACATACTAAAATTTTTCTCTTCTGAAACCTCTTGAGTGAGTCTCTGACAGTTCAAATAACTCTTAGAACCTCTGTCTTTGATGCTCCTACTAGTATGCCCCATTAAGCAATGCTTAAAGCATCCTATTGCTTTCATAATCCAAAGCACCAAAGTCAAAATTCCTCCAAATAAAAACATGGTCAGGTCTATCACAGCAGTACCCCAGTCCCTGGAACCAACTTTCTGTCTTAGTTAGGGTTTCTAATGCTGTGAAGAGACACTTTGACCATGACAAGTCTTATATGGAAAACATTTAATTGGGGTGGCTCACTTAGAGTTTCAAAGGTTCAGTTCATTATCATGGTAGGGAGCATGGCAGCATGCAGGCAGACTTGGTACTAGGGTTTAAGAGTGCTACATGTTCCAGTAACTGTTCACATGTAAAGTGAACTGTCACACTGAAGGAACTTGAAGCCCGCCCCCAGTGACACACTTCCGCCAACAAGGCCACTCTTCCTAACAGTGCCACTCTTTATAGGGGCCATTTTCTTTCACACCACCACAGTCACTATACCTAGCTGTCCCCGTTTTAACATCTGTTCCATCTCCTCCTGACTGGAACACAAACCTCAAGAGCTGTCCCTGCCCCTATCTCCAGAGCCTCTTCCCAAGTCTATGGGTGGACATTTTCAGGACAATGTCACACCTTAAACTCGACATGTGAGTGGTGGGATAAGTAGAGGCACAGGATGAACATAAAAGAGAATCATTTAGCCTGACACACACCTTTATTCTGGCAGGCAGAGGCAGGAGGATCTCTGTGATTTCAAGGCTAGCCTACTCCACATGTTGAGTTACAAGCTACAGATACATAGTGAGATTGTTTTTAAAAAAGACACATTACATTCATTTCATTTTGGCTTTAAGTTGGGAATAATCAATAGGCAGGTAGATGTGATAAAGGTGACATGGGCTGAAAAGCTAGAGAGAGGCTTCTACGGCCATGGGAGGGAAAGGGTACCAGAGGAAGAAACGGTGCTGCTTAAGGCTTCAGACGCAGACGTCTGTGTGCTTCCCAATGCTGGGCTTGTCTTCTCTGCTATCAGTTAAAGCACAAAATGACCAAAACCAAACAAACAAGGAAGATGGCAGGACAAATGGGATGACTAGAACATTTGGGAAGAACCCAGACAGCTTCTCGTCAAAGAGTTCTCGGGTACAGCAAACCCTGCCTAAGATGACATATCTAACTAATGGTGGGAGGAGAGGCTGACTTGGTGAGCTCTTCCACATCTTAGATACACACATTTACACTGCTATTTCATGCCACTTGGGTGACCACCCCATAGTCCATCAGCTGCATCCAAATAAGGAGCAAAGGCTCAGGCTCCACAGAGATTCTGAATTATAAAATGAAGTCCCGGGGTAAGCAGTCTCTGCTTACATGATGGTAAGAGGTGTGTCTGAGGCTCTCTTGCAGAATGTCCAGCACCAATACAGGTCAGGCCAGATGATTCTTCAGCCCTCTCCATGGCTAGGTGCCAACACGCAAGGCCTGGGCTACCTCTGCTGAGTCAGAACTAATCGTCTGAACCAGGAACTCACGGCGCCATCCACTCGCATCACCAAAGCTATGCCCAGGAGAAGTCCCACACTGCTCACAATGAAACCGATGGCTTCAAAAATGAACCTGTGAAGAAAGATGGAGTATTTCAGGACACAGGTAATAATAGGTCAAATGCCTTTCCCTAAAGAGGCAAAACCTTGTCGACTTAGGATAGCCATGGTTTCCTCAAAGTCTTCCCCTCCATACCACTTCTTCTTAAGCAAACCCACTTACTTTGGGGCAAACACCTTCCAGACCATGAGATGCCTTCGGAGGATGGAAGCTGCCAAGGCACAGGCTAGAATCTACAGGAAGAGAGGTGGGCAGTTACTTTGGAGGAAGCAAGACAAAGGAGGAAAGCAGTGTATACCACTGGAAAACACCCTGGGTTGGGAGTCAGGAAGCCCAGTTCTTGTCCTGGTTCAACTACTGACTCCTGTGAGCTTGGATCAGTCACTGTCACACTGTCTGTAATGCTGACATTAGTGCTTTGCCTTCCAGCAGGGGGCGACACCAGTAACTCATCTCCACCTCTGTATCAGTCTGGAAAAGAATCCTGGCCATACCCACGACTTTTCCATTATGCCTGACAGGCAACGAACAGGACCCATATCTAGACACAGCAGAGAAAAATGATCCAGGATTGGAATAACAAAGCCCAGGCCAGTACAAATCTGCCCTCTGAAGCTCCCCAAGGTATTTGAAACTAAGAAAAAGTGTAAGTGTGCACTGGGGCAAAGGTCATCAGCTCCCATGTCTCCACTGCACCCACCTGAACTCCAAGGACAAAGAGGTACTTGAGGCCAAGCTGCAACAGGGCTGCATTGAAGTGATGCGGAGCATCCCGGAGGCGCATCTCCATCAGGGGCCCCTCTGCCTCCTCCTCAGGCCTGACTCTGGCCTCAGCTTCACTCCCTGAGAGCTGCTGCCTCTTCCTTGACACTTGACTCTCACACAGGAAGGGCCAGAGCAGGAGCAGCGGGCAACCTACTGCCTCCGGGAGGACAGACTGGCATCAAAGGAGGGCCCTGGGACCAGCCCAGCCTGATCCCCAACCCCGAGCTGGCTTGGGCTGCAAGGAGCTCAGGGCCAAGGGATTGCAATGAGCCAACAAAAACTGCATCTTCCCTTCCAGTCAAAGTTTCCCTTTCTTTCCACAAAGCTGGAGTCAACAGAAGTTAGGGAGGAAAAGCAAAGAGGTACCTGCAAAGAGGATGTGGGAGGCAAAGGTGTTGGCTCCCACTAGTAAAGCAGGCAACCAAGTAGAAGAGCCATGACCTTCTGGGAATCCCACGAACGCTGCATGCCAATGGATGGCTGAAAAGACAGGCTGGTGGCCAGTGGAGTAGAAGGTCTGGGTGGCCAGAAGGGCCCAAGCTGAGACCGCCTGCCACAGCACAATAAAAGGACCTAGAAGAAAAGCACATTTCTTTACAATTACATCTCACCAATAGCCTTCTGTTCTGGGACCATCCACTCTGAGGACTTGAGCAAAGTTTTGTAGACAGTCATAGCTACCCCAACCTTCCTTACAGTCAATATTGCTATTCTCATTGCCTCAGTGTTGCAAGTTATAGCACAAGACCATAGTGTTTGGTTTCTTCTTCCTCACAAAGCGCTCACCATGCCATAATATATTCATAGTGTATCATGTTTGTAACTGAAGTGCATTTCTCTGAGAAGTGAGTTCTGAAACCCCGCTTGGGAGTGGGGTAGGACGAGTATGGTGACGGCAGATAAGGGAGATCTTCCCAACTGCAGGGGCGCGGGGACTGTGGGTCAAGGTGAGAAACACCTGCCTCCAAACAAGATGCATCAGGGCTAAGGTTCGTATTTACCAGTGGTGGTGACTGATGTCCCAGCCGCAAGCAGATGCAGGAGAAGGAAGCTCTGCAGAAACAGGAGCAGGAACACGAGGCTGACACGCTCGACATGCAACAGCAGAAGCGGGAAGGCCAAAAGGATGAGGGCTGTGACCATCGTGGCGGAGTAGACACTTCCCAACTGGTACGCGGCTACAGTGACAGGACCCTGAGATTTGGTCCTCTCTAACCGGCCCTGGAGCTCTTCCTGCATGTGGCGGTAGATTTGTGGGACCACATAATCTAGGTCAGCCTGAGAAGTAGGGGGACCTGAGAAGGGAGTGAGGATAGTCCTGGTCCTCGAAGCACCAGCCCCAACCTTGACCAGCACCGTCACAGGCCTCCACAGCAGCAGCATGAGCCCTGAGGCAGCCAGTCCTACCACAGCCCGAGGCAGCATGGCTGATGCCCCAGAAACCAGGGCCCGGAGGCGTGGTGGTGCTTCATCTGCCCCTGATGCCAACGCCCAGTAGGCAGCCGTGCCTAGTACCATGAGGGGCAACCCCCAGCGCACAAAGAGCACAGGAGGCTCAGGACTCTTGAGATTACCATAGCGGCGAAGCCACAGGCGCACAACAACTAACAGAGTCACCAGTGCCCCCACGCAAGCTCCGTACCACAAATTCTTGGCTCGACCGCCCACCATAGACGCCAAAGGACTCAGCCAGGGAGAGGAGTGGCAAGCAGGTGTCTCTTCAGGGCAGCGATGGAAAAGCCCAGCTAGCCTTGTACATAAAAGCAACCCAATTCCAAGCCTCAGGGCATATGTGCCACTGTGCCGTGGAAGGCCTGTTGGGGCAGAAGAGCCAAGGCGGGACATTGTAAGCAGTTTAGGTGGCAGTAGCTGGCCCTCCCAGTGAAGATGAGCAACCAGGAATAGGATGAGAGAGCCCAAAAGGAAGGGAGTAGCCCTGGCCTCAGCAACAACAAAACTATCAGAGAAGAAAGTGGCCCAGCGAATGAGCAGGAGCAAGAGAACAGGTCCAGGGACAGGGAGTAGGGGTACCAGGGGCCTACTGGATCCCCAGCTAACCCACACTTTCCACAGAAAAGGGAGGAGTGACCCTGCTGCAGCTACAGCCCCTAGAACCACTGCATCCACCTTTGACCCTGCAGTTACCGCAAGTCCAGCATATAGTACGGCCCAAGTTAGGCCCCAGGCTACAGGTATTAGCAGTAGCGGGCGGAAGGGAAAGCCTGGGGATACTGCCAACTGTGATGCAAGCAGACAGAGAAAGCAGGCAGCAGCCAAGAGAGCAGCACCCCCTGCCATTCGGACCAGAGAGAAACGGGCCCAAGACTCGATGCATATGGCCCGAGCTCCCCGCAGGAACCGCTGCAACTCAGCGGTCAACGTCTTCAGCGATGTCTCAGCCTCCTGGGGATCCTGCAGGAGCTGCTGGTAGCTAGCAGAGGCCTTGGAGAAGAGCTGCTGCAGCTGACGGAGCTCTTTAACCTGGAGATCCTGAGTAGCAGCTGCGTAAGTATGCAAAAATCGGGACACCTGGCAGGAAAGGTCAAACAAACAGGAATAGGTCGGGGAACAAAACTGGGACAGGGGTAAGGACAGATATAAGGACAAAGGTGAGGACGGGAAGGGGAGGTGAGGATGGGGGTGAGGACGGGGGTAAGGACAGAGGTACTTGGAAATCGGGGGCCCAAACTCTGTCCACAATGGGAGAAGGGAGGATAATAGAAGAAGGGCATGGCTATGTTATGGAGGCGAGGTGAGGACAGGAAGGACAATGGTGTGTTTAATCCTCATACTTGGCACACACACGTCTAGCCCTTTCACCTACCTGCTGGGCATTGATGTAGAGAGCTGAGACTTGGGCCAGAGCAGAGGCCTGAGGATGGGAGTCGTTGCCCCCTGAGAACAGCTCAGTTATCACTTCCCCGATGTTCCCAAACGGGATGGGCAGGCCTAGCAGCAGTGCCAGTGTGGGCACAAGGCTGACTTGAGGAATAACCTCTGGCTCCTAGAAGGAAAGGACAGGTATCAATTGGCTCATCAGGCCTAGGTTAGAATGGTGGGAGGGAGAGTCTGGAGAGATGGTCCAGTGGGTGAGAGCGTTTGCTGCATTAAACAGAAGGACCGGAGTTTGGATCACAGAATCCATGTAGGAAGCTGGGCATGGTCATGCATGTCTGTAATCTAGTGCCGTGGTGGCGGACAGGATTTCTGGCCACCAGGATGGCTTAGGTTCAGTGAGAAACCCTGTGTCAGTGGAAGAAGGTGGAGCATGCGAGAGCAGGATCCCCAATGTCCCTTGGCCTCCTTGTACACAAGTTATACCAGCACACACGTGTGCACATATACCACATACATATCACACACACACACACACACACACACACACACACACACACACATAAATAAATAAATAAAAATAAATGAGAGTGGGGCCAGATCGTGGTTTTGGGAGCCTAAGGTGAAGGGACCACAATGTGGGGAGAGCAGAAGAGGTACAAGCAGGCCTCACCTCTGGTGGGACAGTAGGGAAGAAGGGGGTGGGGCTGTACAGGAAGAGTGCAGCTGAGACCTCCAGCTCACTGTCCCCTCCATGGTCTCCATTCATGGTCATCCCATGGTCACCAGCTACTACCAGCAGTGTGTCATTCTCCAGACGTTCCAGAAGTTCCCTGGGGGCCAAGAAATGTGTCAGAGGGTAGGGAGAGATAAAGATTCTCCTCGGGGGCCCATTCAGCCCCATCCACTGACTTCCATAACAGGCCTTTGTCAAAAAGACATCTCTTCAGTCATAACACTGCAGCCCAGAGTACACGCCAAGTTATTCAAAATGGATGGTGCCCCTAGGTTTTGGGGAAAAGGCCTATAGAAAATAATTCAGAGTCAGAGCATGGTAGTGCATGCCTTAAATCGCTGCACTTGGATGCCAGAGGCAGATGAATCTCCGTGAGTTTCAGTCCAGCCTGATCTGGTTTATATTGCAAGTTCCAGGTCAGTCAGAGCTATATAATGAGACCCTGTCTCAAAATATATACATATATACATTCATACATGCAAACATACAAACATACATTTCATCCAGGAAAGAGGCTCCAAATAAGGTTTTTTTTTTTTTCCTCATAGTAGCCTATGTCCTGAGATTTTCAAACATAAACCCACTCCCCCGGCCAATATCCCACACTCACTGGATCACCTGGTCCATCTGGCTAAGTTTCTTGGCCATTTCAGGGTGGTGAGGGCCATGCTTGTGACCACAATGATCCACGCCCAGGAAGTGGGCGATCAGCACGTCCCAGGCACCGCTGTCCACTGCGGAGGGGAGAACACTGAATACAGGGCAGCAAGGCCCACTCCTCACCTGAGCCCAGCCTTGGCACTCCTGTATGCCCAGGGAGACAGCCACAGGCTCTGCCACAGCCAGCATCTATAGACTAAAAGCACCCTCTCTGACTTCCAGGGTTGGGCAGGCACTAAGCGCTCTCTCCCCATGCTCACTGGTAGGATAGAGGTGTTCTAGGATGCCATTGTCCACTGTGTGTAGGTCTCTGACATTGAAGGAGGAGAAGAAGAAAGCTTGAGAAAACGCTCCAGGGAAAAGGTCTTTCCAGGTATCATCTCCCATGAAAACGATACGCCTTCCTGTAGAGACAAGAGGGGAATCAGAGCAGGGGAGAACATGAGAGAAGACTCTAAAAAGCCCATCAGAGAACAGGTGGGACAGCTCAGTGGGTCAAAGTGCTTGCCACCAAGTCTGACAACTTGAGCTCAAGACTCAGAACCCACATGGTGTAAGGAGAGAATCAGCGTCTAACGCTGACCTCTTACCTCCACACATGGACCATGGCATGTGCACTTGCACAAAGCACACTATGTGTGTGTATGTATACACATATCCAGTAGAAATGTCTCTCTTTTTGTTTTGTTTGAGACAGGGTTTCTCTGTGGTTTTGGAGCCTGTCCTGGAACTCGCTCTGTAGACCAGGCTGGCCTCGAACTCACAGAGATTCGCCTGCCTCTGCCTTCTGAGTGCTGGGATTAAGGCATGCACCACCACTGCCCAGTGTTTCGATAGGAATCCCAACCACACATCCCCAAGATTAGGAATTCATTCAGTATCACCTAAAATTTCCTATCAAGCTTTCTCTGACAACCATATTCCCCCTAGACCACATTCCATTCCTGTAAAATGATCTGCTACTCCTTGGTCCCTAGGGTTTCTGCTGACATGTATGTTTGTTTGCTTTGAGACAGGTCTCACTATACAGACCAGGCTAATTTGGAACTCAGAGATCCTCTTGCCTCTGCCTCCTGAGTGCTGGGATTACAGGCATATGCATTATGTTCTGCCTTTGACTTCTTTTTTTTTCACAAGCAGTCAGTGAACACCTCTATTCTTTTCTCCGCACTTGCAAGCCAAGACCCCTGCCTTCATTTCTTCCTTAATTGGGAGCTCCCAAGAGTTAAAACAAACATTTTGTGTGTATTAGAAGCTTCATCAAGGACAAAAAAAAAAAAATCTCTTGAGTTCTCCACAAGCAAGGTCCCATCTATTTCTACTCTTCAGTTTCTCTACACCATAGTCCTTACAGCTGGGAACCCTAAGTCCTGGCTCCCCAACATCTAAAGGCCAGTTACACCCGGCTTCCAAAGAGGTACATACTGACCTGCACTGTTGAGCTGCTTAATGAGATTATCTTCCACTATAGCATGGCTGGCAAAGTTACTGCCAGCATCAATAAAGGTAGGCAGGGAACCAGTGGTGAGAGCTTTGAGACGCTGCATGGTGGTCGTGGGGGGATCCACTTGAGATCGGTATAGTCGGGCATGGTGGGGTTTATTCTCTAGGATCCTCTGCAAGGAGCCTAATTTTCCCAGAAAAGGCACGGAGACAGGACGTTCCCCAGGTACATGTGAGCGCTGGGGCTGGGCAAAGTCAAATCGCAGAGCGTCTATCAGCACCAACACAACCCTGGAGAACCGGGATGGCATCCAGCAGGCCCCAGATTTTCCTTGGCTCCCCCATGGTAGGGAACCAGGGCCGGGGGGTTCTTGGCAGCTGCTTTGGTTGGTGAGCTCCAAACGGGTGAGAAGGAAGCCACTTGTGAAGAGTGCAATACCAGCGTAGAAAAGAAAACAGACCCAGGCTAAGAAGAGGAGCACGGAGACCTTCTGCATCCTGGTAGAGAAGAGGAAAGTTTCATTGTGGTGCAAAGAAAGAGTGGACATTTTGTCCCTCAAAACAATACCCAACAACAACCACTTACTGCAATAAACTTCAGGATGTAAGCAACTCATAGTCAACTCATTCCAGCTGTTTCTACCAGTCATACTATCTGAGGGAGAGATGCAGCGACTCTGGATCTCAACCTGGAACCCACGTTACATCTACTGCTTCGGGCTCTGGGCGTGAGCACAAGAACCTGGGCATATACAACCAGGAGATCTAATGCTATCAAACCACAGTTTAGAAGCAAGACTATTCCAAACGGCTGGTAGATGGTTCTCTGTCAGTTCATTTCAATGAATCCCTTCGGACTATCTCAACATTGCTAGGGTGGCAACAGAGAAGCAGCCACACAGAAAACCGGACTGAGTAAACGGCGCCGCCTGGCGGGGGCGGAGGAGACGAGGGGGAGGAGTCACGCGCCGCTTCCGGGCGGCCAGGATCAACAGAAAGCAGAGGACCGGCGTCCCCAGGAGCCCTGGTCTAGAGCCCGTTGAGCTAAGCGGGATCCAGGAGTCCCGGCGGCTCTGTCTCCTCCGGTGGAAACCCGGCCAACACGTGGGCATGCTCACTCCGGTGCCGGGCAGCCCGGCAGCAAGCTGAGGCACCTGTACTAGGGATGGCTGAGACAGAGGGTTCTCGGGAGATCTTGGCTCACCTGGATCCGCGCCCGGAAGTGCAGCGGCGGTGCCTGTAGCCTGACACCACAGAGGTGCGCACGTCGGAGAGAGCGCCCTGCAGGAGATTCGTCGCCACCTGCTGGCCGGCGCCAGGATGGAAGGCTGGCAAGTTTGATGGAGGTTCTAAGAGTTGGGAGGAGAATTGGAAGGACGACGGGTGTATACATAATCATAAAAGAAAAATTCAGGGGAACACTTTTTTTGAAAAAAAAAATTCATTTATTTTATGCGAATGTGTTTTGTGTACCTGAGTGTATTTGTGTACCAAATGCATTTAGAGCTGCAATTGCTCTCAACCACTAAGCCGTCTTTTTTTCGTTTTTTGAAATACGGTCTAGTCTATTATGTAGCTTTGGCTGTTGTGGAACTTGTTATGTAGACCAGGCTGGCCTCGAACTCAGAGACCCGCCTGCCTCTGCCTATTTTTTTTTGTTGTTGTTGTTGTTTTTCGAGACAGGGTTTGTTTGTAGCTTTGGAGCCTATCCTGGAACTAGCTCTTGTAGACTAGGCTGGCCTCGAACTCACAGAGATCCGCCTGCCTCTGCCTCTCAAGTGCTGGGACTAAAGGCTTGCGCCACCAGTGCCCGGTTCCCTTTTTCTCTTGCATCCTTCTCTTCCCCTCTTTCTGAGCCAAGGTTGCATTATGGAGCCTAAATAGGTTTCTCGCTTGTGAACTTTCTGCATCTCCTGAGTGCTGAGTTTTGGACAGGCTCCAAAAACTACAGAGAAACCTTATCTCGAAAATAAAATAAAAAACCCAAAAAACAATAAACAAAACTGTTAGTTGAATCTTAAAAAATATTAATTAGGGCCTGAAAAGATGGATCAGTGGTTAAGAGCACTTGTTTTTACAGAGGACCTGGGTTCAATTCCCAGCCACCACATGATGGCTCAAAACCATACAGAACTCCAGTTCTAAGAGACCCAAAGCGCTCCTCTGACCTCAAAGGCACCAGGCACACATATGGTACATATCCATACATGTGAGCCAAAACACTCATCACATAAAAAAATCTAATTAATAAAAATCAAATAATGCAATTTAAAGATGAACAGCGTGCCTCCAGACATTCCTCTAAAGAGGATACACATAGCCAACAAGCACATGAAAAGATTCTCAGTATCATTAGCCATCTAGGAGGTTCTAGAAGTAGCATTGTAACTGTCCTAGTTTGGACTACGGATGTATCCCAGCACTAGAGTACTGGACTGGCAGACACAAGTCTCTGCGTTCAATCCCTAGCATACCAAAGAAAACAATAGCTGGAATGGTTGCTTGTAATACCTGGATTCAGGGAGGAGGATCGCCACACGCTCAAGGCCAGCCTGTGCCAACAGAGACCCACACACCTCAGGGAGGAGGAAGAAAGATGGTGACAAGTACGAGCAAGGATGTGCAGAGACTGGAGCCTTCACACACTGCTGGCTGTGAAATGGCACAGCAGCTTCTCAAAAGGTTTAGCCGCTGTGTTGCCCAGAAATTCCCCACCTACGTAGACACCCGGGGGTGATGCTCAATGGTAACCATCAACAGAACCTGAAGTCACTTGGGGGATGGGCTCTGGACACACTGTGGGGGTTCTCTTAGCTGAGGTGGGAAGGCGCGTTATACTGTGGATGGAACCATTCCTTAGGCAGGGATCCTGAACAGAGTAAGAGTGGGCCAATAGTAAGCGTGCTACGAATGCATACATTCGTCGTGCTCTTCTGATTTACAGAGGTAATGTGACTGCTACAAAAAAATAAAACAATAAAACTACCTCAAATTTGTTTTTAGTTTATTTTAGTTATATGTGTGTTTGTGTTTGTGTGTATGTGCCTCATGGAGGTTGGCATGTCGGAGTCAGATGGAGCTGGAGTTAGGTAAGGCTGCAGTTTCCCTGATATGGGGGCTGGGAAATGAACTCTAGTCATCTACAAGAGCAATACGTGCTCTGAACCACTGAGCTGTCTCTCCAGTTCTCACTGCTGTGACTTTCCTGCCATGATGGGCTGTGACCTGAAATTGTTCGCTAAATAACCTTTCTCAGGGCTGGAGAGATGGCTCAGTGGTTAAGAGCACTGACTGCTCTTCCAGAGGACCCGGGTTCAATTCCCAGCACCCACATGACAGCTCAAAACTGTCTGAAGATCCAGTTCCAGGGGATCTGACACCTTCACATCAATGCACATAAAAATAAAGTTAAATAAACCATAAAAATATTTAAATAAATAAATAACCTTTCTCCTTTACATGTTTTTGCTAGAGCACTTTATCACAAAAGAGAAACTACACACCAAGATGTACAATACATCTCAATAAAAACCTGTATGTGCCAGGTGGTAGCGCACACACTTAAGGCACCTAAGAGGCAGAGACAGGTGGATCTCTGTGAGCTTGAAGTCAGCCTGGTCTACAGAGTGAGTTCCAGGACAGCCAGGGCTACACAGAGAAACCCTGTCTCCAAAAACCAAAACAACTATATGTAAACATACAAAGTAGCATCTATAATTACCAAAAGATCAAAACTCAAATTTCCTTTAGTGAATAAATAAAACCTGGCATGTGCATGTGGCAGTGTGTGTAGGGAGGGGTCTACATTCTAATGTGTGCTTACACAGTCTCTAAGTATATTAAAATCTACTGGATTTACTGGTTGATGGAAGATGTACAGAACCCTGGGTTAGATCTCCAGCATTCCATAACATCTGGTATAGTTGCACACACCTGCAATCCTAGCACTTGAGAGGTAGAGGCAGGAGGAACAGATGTTCAGGGTCATTCTAGCTTGTTTGGGGCCAGACTGGGATACACGAAACACTGTCTCAAAAACAGTAAGTAGTTAGCTAACTAAAAGCCTAACATACATAAAATGGGTAAGTTGGCTGAACATGGTAGCACATACCCGTATTAGCACTTGGAAGGTGAAAGCAGGTATACCACAAGATCAGCCTACCTCCAGAAACAACAAAAAGGGCAATTTGTATATGTGAGTTTATCTTGGCAGGAAAAACAACTCAATCTTCTTTTGGTTTCTTAGTAAATATGGGGCATTTTATCTACAGATTATCTACAGCCCTACAAATGTACTTCTTCCTTTCCCATTAAATATATCTAGTTGCTACTTCTTGCTTCTATTACCTGTCCCAGCCACAGCAGTTCCTTTCTCTTGTGTTCATAAACCAGATGCGCTCTGCCTCTCAGCAGTTACACACTGCTTTTTACACACTTCATTTCCAGATCACCAAATGGGTCTCTTTCCCTCCTTCATATCTAAGCTACAGTATCATTTTCATTGACATTTCCTGGAACCCAAGCTAACTTACATTAGTTCTTTCATCAGAACAGTATGACTTAAAAATGACTGTATGTATGTGCATGTGCCACGGTGTGCGTGTTCCACATGTGTGTGTGGAGGTTAGAGAACACCTTTTATGAAACTGGTTCTTCCAGCTTTTGGATGGTTCCAGAGATCCAACCAGGTCATTTGGCTTGCACAGCAAGACGCTTTAGCCCCCTGGTGACCAGCCCTGTTTATGACTTTCTATCACTGTCTACTTCCCTACCTGACTTTGTATTTTGGGAAAGCAGACCCACTGGGGTTCAACTTTATTGCTGCTGCTTTGAGAGAGGGTCTCACTAAATACTTCAATCTGGCCTTGAACTCACTCCTGCTGCTTCAGCCTACCAAGAGCTGGGATTTTAGGTATGTATTGCCATGGCCATCTCTTAACTGCTCTTTAAACCCTAGTTGGTATCTTTTCTACTTGGTACACAGTAGACATTGAATGGTTCTGAATGAACGAGGTCCACCCTCAGTCCTTCAAGACCGCTGAAGTACCATTCTGCCAAGGTAGTCCTCTTTCGGCAAGTTTACCCAAACACCTGCACCAATCAGCAGGAGGAGCGGGAACAACTCTCCAGCTCACAGCTCAGTAGACACACGCTTTAATCCCGCACTGGTGTAGGCTTCCCTTGAAAACAGAATGATTTCATGTCACGTGAAGTTCATTCTTGTGGAGTGGGAGTGGCCATCCAAAGAAAGTATGAGTGATGTTTCTAACTTCATTCTCTAATCAAAAAGGACAGTTTCCAATTTGCCGCTGATAAGTTTATTACTTGATTATTAAGTTCAAATAAAAAAATAAAAACTAAAATTTTATCAGGGAGGCTAGAGCCAGAATCGGAGAGTAGTTTCCTGTCCCCAGACTCCCTGGCCAAGCCATCTCCTTAACTGAGCTTGACTCTACCCAGTTCTTCAAGACTTGCATCTGTACCCTGGACATCTCTGCCGTTCTCACTGGAGTTCTGGGCTCCAGGCACTGGGGTTTTAGTGAGAGCCCCATATACACCCATGGCCTGTGGAGAGAGGAAGAGAGCCATGAGGACACTGCAGAAGAGATCTGCTCCAGACTGCTAACAGGAGCCACTCAACTCCTTTGTTTCTTTCGTTTTCCCCTTTCTCTCTCTCTCTTTTTTTTCTTCCTTTCGAGACAGGGTTTCTCTGTAGCTTTGAAGCCTGTCCTGGAACTCGCTCCTGTAGACCAGGCTGGCCTCGAACTCACAGAGATCTGCCTGCCTCTGCCTCCCAAGTGCTGGGATTAAAGGCAGGCGCCACCACCGCCCAGCTCCCTTTTCTCTTTCATCCTTCTCTTCCCCTTTCTGAGCCAAGGTTGCATTATACGGAGCCTAGATAGGTTTCTCGCTTGTGAACTTCCTGCATCTCCTCCTGAGTGCTGATATTAAGGCATGTACCACCACCCCCAGCCCCTTGCTTTTTCTTGTTCCTTCAACCTAAGCATTGCAGTCAGTGATAAGAATCCTGCAAACCATCACCCCGGGGTGACTCAGAACACTGACACGGGTATCTGCAGGACTGAGTGGAGATTTCCATTCTTAGCTCCTGACACTGTTATTATTGTACGCTTGTCTTCAAAGAGCTCTAACCTGAGCCACCATACTTGTGACGTCACTGGGATTGGAGGGCAGTAGGACTGTGTTGGAGTCCTTGGCAAGCTTGGAGAATGCGTTGACATACTGCTCAGCCACAGTCAGTGAAGCTGCCGCATCTCCATTCTGTGGGCACAGGGGGTTCAAATCAAAGGCCATAAATTTAAGGAGAGAAGAGAAAGGTCAGGTTCCCGGAGAAGCGGTATACAAATCCTAATACAAAGCTCAGGTCGTCTGGCTCAATGGAGTCCACAGTGTC